TCTGTGTCTGTGTCTGTGTCTGTGTCAGTGACTGTGTCAGTGTCTGTGTCTGTGTCTGTGTCTGTGTCTGTGTCTGTGTCTGTGTCTGTGTCTGTGGCTGTGTCTGTGTCTGTGTCTGTGTCTGTGTCTGTGTCTGTGTCTGTGTCTGTGTCTGTGTCTGTGTCTGTGTCTGTGTCTGTGTCTGTGTCTGTGTCGGTGTCTGTGTCTGTGTCTGTGTCTGTGTCTGGGTCTGTGTCTGTGTCTGTGTCTGTGTCTGTGTCTGTGTCTGTGTCTGTGTCTGTGTCTGTGTCTGTGTCGGTGTCTGTGTCTGTGTCTGTGTCTGTGTCTGTGTCTGTGTCTGTGTCTGTGTCTGTGTCTGTTTCTGTGTCTGTGTCTGTGTCTGTGTCTGTGTCGGTGTCTGTGTCTGTGTCTGTGTCTGTGTCTGTGTCTGTGTCTGTGTCTGTGTCTGTGTCTGTGTCTGTGTCTGTGACTGTGTCTGTGTCTGTGTCCTGTGTCTGTGTCGTGTCTGTGTCTGTGTCGGTGTCTGGTCTGTGTCTGTGTCTGTGTCTGGTCTGTGTTGTATAATAGTGCGGTGTCTGTGTCTGGTCTGTGTCCCTGTGTCTGTGTCTGTGTCTGTGTGTTCGTCTGTGGTCTGTGTCGTGTCGAAATCGACAAGTCTGTGTCTGTGTCTGTGTCTCTCCATGTGTCTGTGTCCCCCCCCCCCCCCCCCCCCCCCTGTGTCTGTGTCTGTGTCTGTGTCTGTGTCTGTGTCTGTGTCTGTGTCTGTGTCTGTGTCTGTGTCTGTGTCTATGTCTGTGTCTGTGTCTGTGTCTGTGTCTGTGTCTGTGTCTGTGTCTGTGTCTGTGTCTGTGTCTGTGTCTGTGTCTGTGTCTGTGTCTGTGTCTGTGTCTGTGTCTGTGTCTGTGTCTGTGTCTGTGTCTGTGTCTTTGTCTGTGTCTGTGTCTTTGTCTGTGTCTGTGTCTGTGTCTGTGTCTGTGTCTGTGTCTGTGTCTGTGTCTGTGTCTGTGTCTGTGTCTGTGTCTGTGTCTGTGTCTGTGTCTGTGTCTGTGTCTGTGTCTGTTTCAGTGTCTGTGTCTGTGTCTGTGTCTGTGTCTGTGTCTGTGTCTGTGTCTGTGTCTGTGTCTGTGTCTGTGTCTGTGTCTGTGTCTGTGTCTGTGTCTGTGTCTGTGTCTGTGTCTGTGTCTGTGTCTGTGTCTGAGTCTGTGTCTGTGTCTGTGTCTGTGTCTGAGTCTGTGTCTGTGT